ATATATATATATATTGCATATATACTATTGAAAGAAAAAAATTCAACCAGTGTTCCTTTTTTTCACGAGTAGTTTTTTAATTGATAAAACAGATTTAAAAAGACTGCTTTTCAAGTAAACATATAGAATTAAAATAAAAATAAAAATCTCTTTTTCAATGCAGATTATATTTAATTTGATAAACATTTAAAGAATGTTTTTTTTTTTTTATTTAGAAGAATTCGTATTTAATGATCTTGTTTTAAATCTATCTATTAGTTTATTCTGATTCTTTTTGAATTTATTTGTTTCGACATTATATAAAAGAAAATACATAGCAACAATTTATTACAATAGTTCAAATATATGATAAAAATCTTGATAAGAAAAGATCCATTGATAAAATGTTGATGAAAACTTATTTTAAATACAAGCTGATTTTCTCTCTTTTGTAAGCTCAATAGATGTTTACATTGACTATCAAATAAAGAAAAAAAGAAAATTAAAATTAGATTTGCAGATAAATAAATCTTTCTTTTTATTTAATTGATTGATGGAAAAATCTATTGAATATTGTTTGATATGTACGATAACACAACCAACATAATCTTAATTTGATACACTTGATTAATTATTTTGATTTAAATTTTCCTCCTTTGAAAGAAACAACAACATCTTTTCTCTTTAATTACAAACATATATTTTAATATAACAATTACAAAAAAACATACATATGTTATATATTTACATGAACAAAGAAATAAGAAAAAACTAGAAACAATGAAAATAAAAATCGATTACCAACAAAATATCTTCTGCTTTTTTTTTATTTTTCGATGCTGATCGATCTCTTGATATATGCAACATGTTTTAAACAAGTGAATATACAAAAACAAATTACAATGTTAGTTGATAGTAATTGCTCGAGAAGTTTCTTTCAGAAGTCGTAAATATAAAAAATTTGCTACACCTGTTTGTCGAGCATTATTTTCATGATCGAAATAATAAACTATTTTTTCGACTTGTTTGAATTCAAGGCGGATCGCTTTGTAAATATAGTTACCTTTGATAAAGCAAGTGTTAAAGTTGAGTAATTCAAGTAAAGGAGGACAAGCCGCCCACTTTTTATTGATACCAATCTTTTCTAATGCTGTAACAACAGTAGTATTTGAGAGTGATATTTTGCCAACACGTTTTTCACCTTTTGCTCGATCAGATGTTGCCCGAAGTATAAATTGTTGAATATGAGGAACTATTCCTCGAAGCCATCGAGTTTTTTGTGAACATGTTGTTACTTTTGCTGAAGTATATGCATCATTTGAATATTTTTCAAAGTGTGGGTTTTTAAAATATTGAT